TGGATATAAAGACAATCTCTTAATTTTGAAATGCTCTAGGGCAGAGCTGATGTTTGTTATCCTGCAGACACCCTTCATGGGGTCAGGATGTGACCTGATGCAGTGAGTGCTGCAGTGTTGTGGCTGATGCCTCCGTATCTTGTACTAACAGTCTTCCGGTAATGTTTATCTGCACACATGCTGACACATCTCTGCACATCTCTGAAGTGCTGAGATGAACAGGATATCTGAAGCACTTGCTCGTAGTAGAGATGGATTGCCTTTTAAGCTTGGGAGGGCCTGTGTTAGGGGCATCTGGGCATAAGGAAGGCTGAAAGCCATCCCCCATCCCACTGATAGGTGTCTGGATTTGATTTCTTACCGCTAGACCTTAGCGCAAAATACGTGGATGAAGTGGTTGGACTCGCTAACCCAGCTGGGTGGGGGTCAGTGCTGCTGTGGGACGGGCTGGGCAGACCCACTTCTCTGTGTGCTTCAGGTCACAGTTGCAGGGTAGCCTGGGGACTTGCTCATGTTTTTCAGTTTGGGGCCAAAGATGACTGGATTCAGGAACTCGGAGGAGTTTGCCTGGCATAAATGAGAAAATAATTGAATAAAACACTCCTTAATTGTAAACTGCTCATACTGTATGAGCAGAACAGCCACAAGGTATTTTATTTTATTTTCTTCTGGAGGTTCTGACATCCATCTATTGAGTAGCTGTTCAGGACTATTGGAGAGCTGCTGACCCAAAGGCTGGTGTTTTCTTTGGTCTGATAGAAGATGAAGTATCCTGTTACACTGGCAGGCTGGGACTCAGTGCTGATAAAACTCATTAGCAAAAAATCAGTATTTATCAGGATGTTACTGTCATTCTTTTTCTTTTTTTTTTTTTCTTTGTGGCTCTGGGTAGCATTGGAGTGTGTTTGTGAAGAAGAGAAGACAATTAAGTAATAGTTCCCTATCTGTCTAAAAAATAGCACGGTCCTTGGTAATGGGGTTTTCAGAATGATTTGTAATTGTGATGAAGGGACTAAACATTCTCTGTGTTTCACTTTGTATCTCTGGTGACTTTCCCTTGTGAGACAAAGGGCAGGGGGAGGAGAACTTGCGTGTCATGTTACCTTAGGGGAAACGGTGCTTATCCTCCAGAGAAACTGGAAAGTGAAGAAACTGCAAACGCGTGCAGCAAAACTGTACGTGAACAGGGCTCCCCTGAACCGAACTTCTCTGGGGCCAAAATAGCTGCTAAAGGGGAATTTGAGGCTTGGCTTCTTAACGTTTTCTTTCAGTGGGTAAAAAGGAAGCACATTAGCAAGGATGAGTGCTCGATGTTAAACTGGAACCGTTACAGTATTTTCCCATTGGGGAACTTCCCTGTTAGCAGGAAATATATTTAAATCCTCCAATCATTAAAGCTTTTTTTTTCTTTTTTCTTTTTGTTTTTAATTTAGAAAATTCAATGCAACATGAAACTCTTCCATGTCCAGGGTTAGTTTTGTCACCTAGGAGCAAGATCACTTATTTGCCTAGTTTCACGAGACTGGCATAACCATTACACACACCCCTCAAAATGTGGTAAAGTGTACTTAATGTGGGTGAATTTCTTGGGTGCTGGGCCTTAAGAAGTGTGTAGGGAGTCTTTTTAACAACCTTGCTCAGAGAGCATTATTAAGAGCTTTTTATAGCAACTCAAATGTTAACTCGCTTTTGAGTCTTCTGCATATTGGCTTTGACCAATGAGAGATTAACTGTGAACGGCTGTGACAGATGTGATTCTCTCTCCTGAAGATTTCCAAAGTGATGCAGAAGAGATTCTGCTCACAAGCCAGAGCAAACTGGCTGGGGAAGGAAATATTTCTACAGTACAGTAACAAAGAAGATAATTATCTCAAGAATGGCACAAAAGGTGCCATTTTTTTGTTTGACCTTGTCTTGATTATGAAGATAGTTTGTCATTAAAGTGCAGAAAGTGTGTTACCATATTTTTAAATGCTCTTCACTCCTAGCATCTCTCGAAGGTGCTGGCTGGTTATGGCCTATCATTTGCATCCTCCCTCATTTAGCTTTGTTTGCCTGATGTGGTGAACGGTCAAATTCAGAAATTACTGTATATTTTGGGGCAAGATCTGATACCTATATGATGGATCTTCCTCGCAACTTGTCTGGCTGGGGTAGATGCTGGGCTATGTTCTGTAGGAGTATTTGCAAAGTATTAGTCTGAATGGAACTTTGCACTTCTCGCATTTAGGAAAAAAGTTACAATTTTGGACTTTATTTAAAAACAAAAACCAAACAAACACCAAAACCACATTTGGGCTTTAGTCTAACTTCTCTTTCCTCTTCTCCTTCAAAGCAAGAATTCTACAGTCCAAATGCAGAGACTGTAATAATGATAAACACAGAGCACACAACCTGTAAAGGAACCGGAATTCTGTAATTTTGCGAGAACACCTGTTCCTCCATTGTCAGCCCTTGCCTCTTTGAGGAGAGCAGTTTTGGGGGTGGGGTTTTCTGGTTTGGATTTTACTCTGTTCACCTAGTATTTTGGGAACAGAGGCGTAGTATTCTCAAAGCTGATATAGCTAGTGGCACTTTCAGAGTTTTTCATACTGGACCGTCAAGCTTCTGTCTCGTTCCTAAACAAACACATGCATATGCTATTTCATACAACCCTTAGTTTGTAAACCTTATTTTTGGGAGACCGGTCAGTGTGCAAATAGCACTACTATGTTTACCTCAATATGCAAGGGAATTCCTTACTGTATTTCTCCTGTTTAGTTGAGGGATCTGTCAGACTTGGAGAGCAGCATGAAGTACAGCTTCCTTCCTCTGGAGGAATGCAGCAGGGAATCAATCGTCTGTCTACCCTAGTCAAGGTAGGGGAAGCGGTTCTAGTTACCTCTGTGCTATCACCTCCTGCAGCAAACAGCCTAGCTAAACGCAAGGGCGAGAACAAGACTTAATGAAGTTGGTTCCATGGCTGGTAGCTGGGTAGACTGCAATAAACACTAAGCAAACCAGAAGACTAATTGGAAAGCGCGTGCCGCCTGTCCGAGAACCAATGCTCCTGTAAGATGTAGCGCCAAAGAGTTAACGTGCCTTCTTGAATGGAAGCTTTCTGTGTATTGCTTGAGCTCATGAGGACTTACGTGTTTAAAACAGTAATGATAAGAAAGGTCTCCAATCTTCCTGTCAGTGTCTGTCAAATCTGTCATGGAGGTACCAGGGTAGTAAACAGCCGAGAACCTGAAACTTTACCTGAAAAATGTTTTATCAAAAGGGCTGTATGTTTTTGTCACTCCTGAGGTCTCCTCTGCTTTCCAGTTGTGGCTTTTTGACCAGTATCATGTGTTAAAAGGTTTCCAAACTATATTTACAATACAAACTTAATCTTTGACCCTTCTTTCCCTCTCCTTCCATCTTCCTTGCGAGTTGCTCCTCCTAAGTTGTAACATGTTTTCAACAGTGCCTTGCTGCATTTCAGTGCTTTTACTCTTCTACTTTGATCATACAAGGGTGTAATTCCTGGAATTTGTGACAGGCTAATTCACAATCTTCAATTTGTGCTGTTTCCTAAAAGACAAAGATCACCAGCTGGGGACAGAACTTACTTAAAACATGTCATTTCCCACAACTGCAGCACAAGCAATAATGTCACTACTCTGACATGAGCTAAGGTCAGTGCTGCTGAAGGCATCTTCATAAAGATCGCCCTGACTGCAGAAGAGGGGATAGCAAATAGAAGTGCAAGCCTGAGCTGTGCTTGTTCTCTTCCTACCTAAACTCCTGGAGGAACAGAAAGTAATTTGCTCTTACAGTGCAATTTACAGTTTCCACCAGGAAATAAATCAATGTAACTTAACAGGTAATGGCTGCCAGTCACTCCCTTTCCTACCATGCAGTGAGGTCTCACATCCTGTTAGAAGCCACCTCTCCCCTCGTGCTTATTTTCTGTCCTCTTCTCCCCTCAAGCCATTCTCTCTGTTAGAACATTCAGAAACCCTCACTGCTGTCCCAGAAGCAGAGGTATCAAAAACTGTAAATAACTTGGGGTGCAGCACAAAAGGAAAAGGAAGATTCTAAGGTGTTAACTGTTCTCTGAGTCTGAGCTGTGGCTTGCTGAGCATATGAAGAAGGGCATTTTTGAGTGGTATAAATTATTCAGAACTGCTGGAGGGAGACAAGAAGAAACAATCTTGTTCAGAGGGTGTGAATTTTGCCTGCCTGGAATATACTGTGTATCTTTGCTTTGCTCAAATAGCCTTATGTATGAAGCACTTTATCCAAACGCAGGAATTAAAGAACTATTACTACAGCTGGTAGACTGGAAATGTTTACAGATCCTATATTACATTCCAAGATTCTATCTGTAAGTGTTATATGTGTTTGTAAAAGTGTTTAAAAAAAAAACCAAAAAAAACCCCAACAAAACTTGTTTAAGAAGTTACGGATGTGATGTGTTATTTCTAGCAGAGTTTGATTAAGCTTTTGCTGCCTAGCATGCTGCATTGTGCTGACCTGAAATGCTGAACTGGTCACATGTGGCAAAGCCTGCAGCCATGGGTGATGGCACTTTGCAACATGGACTTGCTGAAAGTTGATTTTGTTCAGTATATTTTTGCCTGAAATGCTCAAAACAGTTCACGGCAGGAGCTGCACAAGCGAAAGCAGGGCTCAAACACTGCCATACATCTACCTCTGACTCTTGTTCTCCTAACTCCTATAACCTTACGCTACCTTCAGCTGGGGAATCCCAAAGGGATCTCTAACTAAACTTTTCAGGAGGCTTTCCCAGCACTGGTCAGACCTCACCTTGTCCCAGGAAGTAATGCCGAATAGGGAACTGTATAGAAACTGGCATAGAGAAGGAACCTAATGGCTTCTGCTGCATCACAGTCCACTTAATGTTTCTGTGAAAGGAAGTCAACTCCTGAAAGGCCTTTAAACAGTCTAGAAGCTAGCCAGCTGTTCACAACAGAACAACACATGCTTTTACTAAAAAATATTTTTAATTGTTCAAAAACATTTCCAGCCACAAGGGAAAAGCCAAAAGAATTATTCACCTGCTAGGAAAAGAGTTAACACTAAGTTTTTAATAGTTGTGATCCCATAACTGCTAAAGTATACCACAGCCAGGGACTTCACAGCATGGAAAATCTCGTTACTTTTATTTCTGCTCTAAGAAACCCCCTTGTTACTTCCCAGTGACCTGGGAAACAAGTCTCCTTTGCTGGAGAGCTGAGAAAGGCGACCCTTAGAAGTAGCACTCATGGTGTTCTAGCCCAACGTGGGCAGCAGCGCGTGGGTGGAGTTTCTGTTTTCTTAAACTTCCTCCACTTCTTTCAGGGTGTGCTCCAGGATAGTGTCTTGTCCCTGGAACTTAAAATAGCCCCGAAACAGCTTTTTCTGAAGCAGCAGGGGAAACCAATAGATATCATCTGCCCACATGTGATTGAATGGCACTTCATCCAGCAGAAACCACTGTGGGCGCATTTCTGGTGGGAGAAAACAAAAGAACATTGCATGAGACTTTCTCTTGGGTTTTTTGCTGCCTGGACTTTGAACATCTGTCAAGAGCAGCTTCCCTCTACAGTCCAGCTGCCACCCTTCTCAAAGGGATTTTGGCATGACTAGTTCCTCATTTCTTAAGAGCAATACTGTCTCAGAAGAGAATGCACATCCATGCTTCCTTCCCCTCCGCTAGCTACCTACCATCACTTTCTGTTGGCTCTCCATGAAAATGATCTGCTCGGAAAATGTGAACTTCCATGAGTTCAGAATTGCCTACAAATTCAAATGTGATCTGACCCATCTTCTGCAAGGTGTCCACAGTCAGTCCGCTCTCTTCCAGGAGCTCCCTGCACAAGAAATGGACTTCTTTACATGAAAGCAAGCAGTGGGAGAACAAAAAAGCAGTCACTGGCTTTACTTGCACATCCAAAACACTTCAGTGAACCGAAGATGAGAAAGCTGCACCTGTAAAACAGAGCAAGGCACAGCAGAGTTCTGGCTTCCACCAAACTATGAGACTACTTACACCAGAGTGAAGTCATGTCAGACTGGCTCGTGTTATTTCAGGCTCCTACAGCCTGGCAGGAAAATAGTCTGTGTTGGAAGGGGAAGATTCAGGAAAATGGATTGTTTAGTGTAATTTACACTCCTTGCAACATGATGATCTTTCCTGAGATTAGTTAGAAGCGTGTGAACACTCATAGGACTGTAGCTGGATGCGGCTCAAGAGCTCTGAGATACACTTCATGTAGACAAGCAAAAGGCTTTGCCAGCTTCAAGCTGAAGCTTTTAGGATTGTGGGGAAGCAGGTTATATATACTAGAACATCTGTACTTGGTACAAAATCAACTACTTCTGAGGCTAACTGAAGCTTATTTAAATACCACTATACACTACATAACATGATCTGCATACAGGACGTTAGGAATACTGTCTCCCATTCAAATGCCATATAAAACCCAAAGCAATTGTGTAAACTCTCCATTTCTGCTTCTTGGAAGTACATTTAGCATAACGAGAGGCTAGAAGGCAAGACTTTTAAGAGCACTTTGAGAGACTCGCCAGACAGCTCTTTTACATGCATCACCCATGCATGGCTACTCAAAGCACATTCAATTACTTGCTCTGTTTATGCCACACACTTAGGGCTGCTTTTATTTTTACCTGCCTCTAACAGAATCGGCACAGCTTGAAGTTAGTCATGGTTTTTCTAATGTACAAAAATAAGTAATACTTTGAAACAGTGTATCTTCACTTAAGGTTTAATTATTAATGTAGTTGCATATTTGGCAGTAACTTAGCAGCTTTAAAATGTAATGGAAATTATCTTTAAGGCTCCAGCTTTCTTTGGCATCAATTTCATGGGTCCTATCCTTCAAAATTATATATTCCAACTTAATGTCTTAGCTAATTTTAGTTTATCTGCCTGAGAAAATATCTAAAATAGAGGCAGTTTTCCATCAACAAATCTTAAAGCCTCATTTTACAGGCTGTGATAATTGAACAACAGAGCTCAACACTGCTATGATTCTCCAAACAATTTCTCTGTCAGCTCTTTGGGTCTGTATATAGTAAGTGGAAACATTACAGGTAGCAAACTGGAAATAACAAACTAGCTAAATACTCCCAGTAGAAGATGTGCCACTGAGGAGCCGTGGGTGCCCAGGTGCTCAAGGGAACGTGGGGTGCCCAGTTGAGTATAGAAATCTTACGATACAGGAAACTTTTCTTCATGTTTCACATTAATATTTAACTCTCTGTGCTGTGAGGACGCTTCACACCTTACGCCACTGCAAACCCAACTGAGACAGTGCACCAGGGATCTGGTTTCTAACTCCAGGCTAGCATGGATAAACATGCACCGAGGAAATCAAATGCTAAATTAATCAAATCATTTGATTTATACCATAGTCAGTGGCAATGTCAGCCTAGCAAATGGAGGCCTGGTTTAAGTAACAAAACTGATCTCCCTCCCTCTACTCGGAGATGATGAATTACACAAAAAAGCTTCAGGTATGTCAAGGCCACGCACTGCTGGGTGCACATCTGCATAGAGGACCCTTCTGTCTCCTGGATTAGCTCACCACAGAGCCCAGGCAGTTGCACTGGCACAGCTGAGGAGACGGTTCAGAGCAAAAGTTGTTAGGTAGCTGTTGAGCTCACCAACACTGAGCTTCCTGCAGGTGTGAGGGCAATTTTGGGCATATAAAAGAAAGGAGGTGGCAAAGTGTAGCTTTGCGTCGGCAATATTCATGTAAAGAACGAGGTACCTAATTTTTAGAGGAGTTTAGCAATTAAGCTGCAAACTGCTATTTGATTTTAATGACTAGACAGAATAAAGAACTTCAACAAATCAGTACTTAAAAGCTTAAAAAATGGTACTGTGCCTCTGTACTGATGGAATTTAATTCCTTAACTCAGCGTTGGGGCTTAAAAATGCTGCCATGCAGTCAAATAATAAATTTCTACAGTGCCTGTCAGGGACCCCTAAGAATTTCTACTACCTTGTCACTACATTTTTATGCAGTACTAAAAACTCTGCTGGAGGGTAGCATCTGTTCAACAGCTTCAAAATTTAAACAATAAGCAGTACACTGGCACGAGCTGTAATTCTGCTATGTGGCCACCGCTAGCAGACCAAGTTTCAGTTTAGATCAGAGTCCAAGAGACGAGGGAGCACGCTTGGTAACTTCCAGTTACTCATAGACCAGATGACAGTTAAAGATTTGCAGGTGACAGGCAACAGGGAGCAATCCCGTTGCTTTGGACACATGGACAATACCCCACATCCTGCAGAGCAAGTGATTTTCTCTGTTCAGAGATGGCTCACAACTGTGCTCATGAGTAACACAGTGGTTATGAGGGCGTTAATGATCAGCCGAGCCGTTGTAACTCCACCTGCGGCCCATCACAAATGGTCTAACACCTCCACGGCCCACCCTGTGCCCCGGTACCTGCCTCTCCCCAGGGCACCAGCTGAGCTGGGTCAGGCCTCACCTGCGAGCAGCCTCCTCGATGCTCTCCCCTGGCTGCACCTTCCCCCCAAAGCCGTTCCACAGCCCAGCTCCAAACCCGCTCTTCGTCATGCCCAGGAGGACGCGGGGCGGCTGCACCACCAGGACGAGGGTGAAGAGCCTGGATGTGTACATGGCTCCTGGGAGACAGAGGAGGAGGGCATGCTGCGCCAAGGGCTCCTGACACCCCTCAGTGGGGAGGCCAGGCTGCTCCTCCAGCCCAGGGGGGCAGACAGCCCCTCACCCCCCAAACACCCAGCAGCTTCTCCCAAAATACCCGGTCCCACCATCTCCAGCCCAAACCCTTGGTCCCCCAGTGCTTCTCCCCATGCGTACTTCTCTAGCACTCCCCGCTGACCCTTGCTCTCCTGCTCCCCCAGCAACCCCTCCCC